GGTATGAATCTCCTTGTAAAGTAGTCTGCACTCCTAAACTTGTATGATTCTTGGATTGATTTTAAATTATGTTGATCATATACTGAACCCCTTAAGCATTGCTGATTCTGTCACTATGTCTAATCAGTGTTTCTGAGCATATCTGTACCAATTCCAAAGACTTCTGCCTGCTATGTGTTTACCATTATGTGCTTTACCGGTCCCCAATTCCTATTTACCCTTGTGTGAAGGCTTGTGGTGCTAAACATGTTTTGGTTCATTGTTCTATGTGTGATGCTGAACCTGTTTTGGTTCTGAGGTTGATCTGTTGTTTGTTGATTGCCCTACTCTTTTTAAAATTGTCTTATTGAATAACTCCTCTGTTGTTTTACAAAACTATTTTCAAGTCTCTTTTCAAATTTCCTACTTAAACTTTTTTTCAAAACTATGTCAAGCACTCTCACTTTATTCGTAGATCCCTAAGTTCTGCCCCTCTAATGTGTGACTCCTTAGGGATCCCTATGAGGTCCCTCTGAACTCTGATGCATTAGAGCTGGCCCTTCCATACTACACTTACTCAAATATGGTTGTGAAATCTGGGTGTGAGCACTGCCCGGGATCCCTTGAGGTCCTTAGGGAACTCTGACACACCCGGATAAAAATATTGAGAAAGGCTATGAAACAATCTGAGCAGTTGAGGTTTTGGAAATCAAGGCCTACTTGCAGGCTCCCTATAGTGTAACTTCTTATTTTTCTTTATCTATTAATGTAATTCATTCAATGTTGGTTTGTAATATTCATTGTAAACGAATATTGGGGCTGGCTAGTGAAAAAGGGGAGGGTAGCTATACATGTTATCAAAGGGTAGAAAACATGCTTTAGGTTTATATTTTTCTATATGTGCATTAGAATTCATGTTTAGGACCAATACATGCAAAGCATATCATGCATTAGATACCATGCTCCTACCCTGTTTAAATAGTTCTGGTAACAATTGTGCATTATCCCACGCCTAGGCAAGCCTTAGGTAATCAAATTTCTTAAAAACTGGAAACTGTCTCTTTGTGTTTATTGCTTAATGGTTAACAGGCTTAAAAT